ATATTTTTATGTCGTATACAGTAGAAAAAATAATTATTTTGATTGTAAATTAATTGAGATTGAAAAATATCTATGTTATGTTATTAATTTATAATTTATCTATATTGATTAACAAAATAAAGGTAATTAATATGATATTTATTTCATAATGGAATTTTGTAAATTTGTGACTAATTATTAAGGCTGATAAATATTTTTATTTTATAATTAATGTTATTAATTTGTGATTAATTTATATTATGGTAAGTATGTTTTATATAAAATTGAATCGTTTAAATATAATGTGAATGAATAAAAAATAACTCTCATCTATATCGGCTCTTTTACAATATCACTTTATAATCCCCTGTTTTCTCTTTTAATAATATTTGAAGCAGTAATATATGATTATAGATGTTATAAGTCATATTTTTCAAATTAAATATATGAATTAAAGTTTAAATTGTTTGTATGATAAATATTTTTATTTTTTATTTTTATATCATTAAAATTCAACTTATAGTTATATGTCCATATATTGTATGGAGTTATTTTGTTGCATAAAATTTGTGCTTTAAGATTTGTACGTAATATTTGATGAGTACATTAAGAAGATAAAGTAAACAATACATGATTAAGAAGATAAAGTAAACAAAAATATGTAGAATATTTATTTTTAATTGTGTAACACCGAGATATATCACACATCTAAAATATTATTGTATAAGAAGTCAGTTGGTAATGATTCATATATAAGTATTTAAATGCTTTCCTACAATCATGTCCAAATATACAAAAATAGTATAAGAGCATGTGATATACATAAATGTCTAATAAAATATTAAGAGTAATATGACAAATAACAAAAGAAACATCAACATTTTCAGAATCATCAAGCAATCTTACCTTCACCTTTCTTCTATTTCAAATTACTTGAAATTCAACGACATAATTGAAATGAGATACTAATTTCAATGAATTCTTTTATCTTATAGATCCACTCAATTCTACATAATTATTATCATTCCACATTCTACAAGCACTATACTCGCATGCTAACATGCAAATAAGGATCAAAGCATATCATTTTCATAACAAGCAAAGACGACTTCCTACTTAATCTTGCCGGATAGAATAATAGAAGTTATAAATTTTGATCTATTTGAATTAAATATAAAAACAACTAATCTATTGTCTTTAAGGAGGTTATTGAGGGATATTATGCCCCATTTTCATAGGTTCATGTCCACAAAGACGGTATTCAGTATTACACGTCCCCTTGGTTTCAGGATTATGTCTACTAAGGCAGTATTTAGAAGTTTCTTTTTGTCCTACTGATGAGACTTACTCTTCTATATTTTGAACTACCAATTAGTCAATATATGATAATCGAACTATCACTTAAGAGATTCATATCAAAACTAAGGGTTTATGGTCATCATCAAAACCACACATCATCAAAAACATGTCATCGTCAAAACTAAGCAACTCATGATTAACTTGTATCTTACTATCCACAAACTTCCCTATCTTAGATCACTTTTTGATTATACATGAAAGCAAATAGATCCATAAAAACTACATGAGACAATCAAAACTCAACATAACTGAGATAAATGAAATCATTTTGACAAGCAATTTTAACATTAATCATAACTCAATTTTGTACATGACTTAAAATTGATTTATATCAAATGTTGATCAATCCAAAATTAAAGGTCTTTACAATTATGATTAAGGAATAAAATAATCAACAAACTAGAAACATTATATACTTAAATTTATATGATAAAATACTATAAGAAAGTTAAATATCTAGATAACATGATATTCTAAAAGATAAACGAATTTAGCAAATATACGATATTACGAGGAAATAAAAAAGAGGTAGGAGGAGAAAAAATTAAACTTAATTTATCGTGGTTCAACTCATTCATATTTTCTAGAGTTTAATCCACTCTTAAATGGTTTTACCGTTGAAAATTGTAAGATCTTCCATTATTTAAAAAGTTAATATACGAATATTTTATGTACAACGAATAATCAACAATCTAAATACTAAAAGCCAATTGCTTTAGCCAACACAAACTAAATTAAATTTTTCTTCCGTTGAAGCAAAATACTTAAATTACAAATCTTTCAAGATTTTTAATGATCTTGATCCAATACACTTGCTAGATATAAAAATCCTGCTCCGAACTTTCGTTCTTCAGCAAACTTTACTTAACCCTACATATTCATTGGTTGAACGTTTATTATAGATAAGAAAGATTGGTCATTGATTATATTAGACGCTGATTTGACAAATAATAAAGACTAAATTGGTTGTCTTAAAAAATAAAATTCATTATCAAAATAATTATTAATCATTATAAATATTTACTTATTCAAAATAATAAAAACGTGAGATATTTGCCCCTTATGCGATTCTAATTCTATAGTTGAATTTTTGTGGTTAAGTGTTAACCCATTTTAGACACTGTTTTGTAGGTACCAAGCAACTACCATTCCGAACTCGCAAAATTCCTATGTTATTGTCGACATAAACCTTAAACAAGTCAATTAACCTTTTTTTTTTGTTATTGATTTCAATTTTCAACAATAACTATTATTACAGCTTCATACTTCAATTATGTTGTAAGGTTAGAGTTGAAAATTTTAAGAAGGTTTGAATTTTCAGTTCACCAAACATTCTCTGTGTTTTGAATGACTGTTGGGTAGTTAGTTGTACTGTTTTCTTTACCGTGGATCAGTAAATTCCTTTGTTTTGGTTGCCATGTGTTTAGGATTATTTGTGTTTAAGGGAATTGCTTCTGTTCAGAATCAGATTCCAATTTCAACAAACTTGTGTTTTTGTTTTCTTCTTTCTCAGCTTGTTGAAAGATTGAGCTTTCAGCTTAATGTTATTCAAATGATTCTGTTGCTGAGAATTGAAAATATTGATTCTGGATATGGGTTGTAATGGGATTGAACATTTGTGCAAACAAGTGGTAGAAGAAAAAAAGGGTTTCAGACAAATGAATGATGATGAGTTGGGTAGTGTGATAAGGGAAGTTATGTCTCAAGAAGTTAATGATTCTGTTTCTTCTAAGATGGAGGAGTATTTGAAGGCAAATTTAGGACTAGAATCATCGGAATCGGAAGCTACTTCTTTGGCACACATAGGTTTGTGCTTGTGCTCATTTGCTTTATCTATATTAGTTTATTCTTTCATGCTTTTTAGGTATTTGATGACTGTGAAATACTATGTATCATCGAGTTTGTTACATCTAGACATGTGTTAGTATCGTGTGGAGTTTTCTGCAAATTATGTTCACGAAGGTTTGGAACATTGCATCACAGAAACTAGTGGAACTGAGAGAAATTCACCAATAGCTGAAGACGAGGTTATGATTTCTAGGTCAATGACAGAAAAGAGAGCGCTTCGAAGGCATGACCTAATATTGGACAGACTATCAGAGCATGAGAAGGTATATGCAAGTTTTATTGGTTGTCGATGATTTAAAATTTCAAACTAGTGCTTGTGTATGTTTGTTCTGATTGGAATAACCTATAACTTCATGTTGTGACCAGTATTGTTGATGACACTTCATTGTTTTGCTTCTCAGGAAAAACTGATTGCTAACCTAGTGAAGATACAAAAAGACGGGACCGTTGAAGTTGATCTAGAAAGGAGTGCTAGTGTTGCTTCCGAGTTGTTAGAGCTTCAGTCTTATGAGGAGTCAACAGTGAGTGGAAGTTTTATTATTTCTGATTCAAAAAAATCAGTTCCGCGGTTGCAAATTGTCATACTTGTGGTTGGAACTAGAGGAGATGTACAACCTTTTGTGGCCATTGCAAAGAGACTTCAGGCATGTTTATGTATACATTTCATTTTGTTAACTTAGTTCTGAATTTTGTTTTATGCTGTTTATAATGTATTGGTATCTCTCGGTAATGTCAAATTAGCATTATTGATAAGAACTTGTGCTTCATGTTCTTTATAGAATTTCTAAGTTTAAGGAAGGACATATTCTGATATTCTACAGTTTTAGTTAGATTTTTTTATTTTTTTTACTTACAGGAGTATGGTCATCGTGTTAGGCTAGCAACTCATGCTAATTTTAAGACATTTGTAAGATCCGCTGGTGTAAATTTCCACCCTTTGGGTGGTGATCCTCGGGTATTGGCAGGATGTAAGAGGTTCCTTTAAATAATTTTGTTAGTATCTGTTAATTTATATTTCAGTCTATTTGTACTCTGTGTTTAAGATATCAAAACAAAACCATGTTTTGTTTTGACCATATTTCATTTCTCTATCCAACTCATTATCTATGCATATTCTGATAGACTAACTGAGTTGTTCGAATAATAGATATGGCAAGGAATAAAGGTTTGATCCCTTCTGGTACGACTGAAATATCTATCCAAAGAAAGCAGCTGAAGGCCATAATTGATTCTCTTCTTCCAGCTTGCACAGCACCTGATTCAGAAACTGGCATTCCCTTCACAGCTCAGGCTATTATTGCCAACCCTCCTGCTTATGGTGAGTCATGAGAAGATTATTGTATTGCATATTCGTATTTCTCCATTCCATATCTTTCTTATAATTGATTTTTCTTTCAAGGATTAAGTGCCAATAGTTATTTTATTATCAGATCGTCATGCATTGCAAGTATGACATTTAATGATTCTATCGTTGGAAAAATTTTCTAGTTTTATTTTTCTTGTGTAAAAAGTTTGCAAGTTTGCCAAGCACATGGTCTTTTTATATCATTGATTCCGGCTTGCAGGCCATGTACATGTTGCTGAAGCCCTTGGGGTGCCTATTCACATCTTCTTCACAATGCCATGGACGTGAGTTTAATTCGTTATAATAGCTCCTTCGCATTTATATATTAGCAGATAACTTTTAATGACAAGATATACGTTGTTTTCAGAGTCTTGAATAATGTTCATGCAGTACAAAAATGTTTTAGTTAAAACTACAAACCGAGTTCTGTTACATTTTTTATTATTATTAAATATGCAGGCCAACCTATGCATTTCCTCATCCTTTGGCACGTGTTCCTCAAGGTGCTGGTTATTGGGTATGTCCTTCGCTGAACCAATATTTCATGATCTGATTTTTATATTTTTATCAACAGACCTGTATTTCCCTGCCATTTCCAGCTATCTTATATAATTGTGGATCTACTGATATGGTGGGGAATGCGAGGAATTATTAATGACTTCAGGAAAAGAACGTTGAAGCTTCCTCCTATTGCATACTTCAGCATGTATCGTGGATCAATATCTCATTTACCAACTGCCTATATGTGGAGTCCTCATCTTGTTCCGAAACCAAACGGTATGGACAAGGACGCAGTTATTAATTGCATTGTACGATATCCACCCATAAGCTTATTTGTGGCGATAATATAACTTTTTGAAAATGATAAGATATAAAATCAATCACGGGCCTCCGTTAAACAGCTTAAGCTTAGAAGAATTGGTCCTTGAGGTTAATGGCATTTTAATTATCTTGCAGACTGGGGTTCTTTAGTTGATGTTGTTGGTTACTGTTTCTTGAGGCTTGGGTCGAAGTATCAACCACGGGAAGATTTTGTCCAATGGATTAAAAAAGGACCATCTCCTTTATATTTTGGATTCGGAAGCATGGTATGGTAATTTTTCCCATTTGAACTGCAAGCTTTTTTATGAGCATAACTCCGATTAATGTCTTTTTTTCTGTAAATTTTGCTATCTATTTGGATTCTTTAGAGTTCCCTACCATTAAGTGTCGATATTTATTACTTTCTTGGAGAATCAAGCTAATGAAGTTGTTGTTATAATACAAATCGTGCAATGATATATATTGTCTTGAATATCTGTTTCGGGTATACTCGTAAGATAGTGAATATGAAATTGTTGCCTTGAGAAAATTAGAAACATTTGAAAATGTTTTTTGAAGCCATCTTAAAGAAATTTTGTTTACTCATGTCAGCCTCTTGAAGATCCTAAACTAACAACAGATGTTATATTGGAGGCACTAAAAGAGACCGAACAACGAGGAATTATTGACCGAGGTTGGGGTAATCTAGGAAATTGTAAGTATTCTATTTCAAAAATAAAATCTACAAGTTTTTTTGCCATTAACTCGGATTAAGTGAGAGCTATGTGTTAAATTTTCAGCATTTTGATGGTCTTAAGTTTAAGAATTGATAAACATATTTCATAACTTGACTTATGATGCATATTGAGATGATTTTACAGTTTGTTATGTTCATTTTAGGAGGTTGACATTAGTTTCACTTGCTCGTGTTTTCAATTATGCAGTGGCAGAAATTTCTGACGATGTTTTCCTTCTCGAGGAATGCCCTCATGATTGGCTGTTTCCTCAATGCTCTGCCGTGGTTAGTTTCAGTTTATGCTTTCTTGAGTGATTATTTGGTAAAGAAAAAAAATGATTTGGAGGGGTCACGGTGGTTCTGGTCGAAAGTTCACTCAAATCTAGGTGTGAAATTGCAGGTGCATCATGGTGGAGCCGGAACCACCGCTACAGGATTAAAAGCTGGGGTAATTATTATTCAATAGATCTTCACTGAGATGTTTTTCTTTTTTATAACGATGTAGCAATGACGCGATCTTTAAATGTCGTTAACTTAATAATTTAACCGTTTTGCAGTGTCCAACAACAATAGTTCCATTCTTTGGAGATCAATTCTTTTGGGGAGATAGAATACATCAGAAAGAGTTGGGACCAGAACCAATTCCAATATATGAGCTCAATGTTGAGAATTTATCAAATGCTATAAAATTCATGCTCCAGCCCGAGGTAAATGTATAATCATCAATGACCTTTCTCATTGTGAAACCAATAATAATTTTGACCGTTAACGTGTTTCAGGTGAAATCTCGGGCGATGGAAGTTGCTAAGTTGATAGAGAATGAAGATGGCGTTGCAGCTGCAGTTGACGCGTTTCATCGCCAGCTGCCCGATGAGCTACCGCTGCCAGCTCCATCTCCTATTGAGGAGGACCAGTTAAGTCATCTTGATTGGTTTTTCGACCAACTTGCAAAGTGGTGTTGTGTGCCTTGTGGTGGTGTGTAGATTTTTTTAATTAATATTTTTTTTTTACTTCTTTATTTCATTATTATGTAATTAGGTTTTTATAGGAGCTTTCTGTTTTGTCATAATGGTAGCATAGTGTTCTGGTTTGGTATTTCATTCATTCTGTCAAGTTTCTTATACAAGGCCTTGACTAACAATAAATGTTCATGTATATTAGATATTAGATTTCTCCCCTCCCCCTCAAACCTTTTGTATATGAGGTTTTGTCACTTATATAGTAGATTAAGAGCTCATATATTGTAAGAAACGCAGCTCATTGGCTCCACATAATCAAATGAGCTATGTTATATGTCTTAGCAATCATATTTTGTATAGAATTTAAAAATTTCACACTATCAAGTTCAATAAATCTTGTAGGGATATCTAGAAAGTCACACCCACACTTAATAAACATAACTCGCGGTCAAAGTAGTAAGCAATGGATAATAGTTTTGATATTTCCAACATAGTAAGGTTATGTAGGAGAAACTTTGGTTGGAAGGGAGTTATGACAAATCTGCCAAATAACAAATTAAACGTTTGCTAAAGAGGTAGCTTCCATATCCAATTTCAATAATCGTTAGAATCATAATCATGATGCATAAATGATGGCTAATGCATCCACTTATAATAGTATATTCACCTTTAAAATTTTCTCTCCACTATTAGCAGACTCTAACAGAAGTAATAAAATTTTGTAAAAATATCTAAAGCAAAGTAGTGATTATACGAGGGCAGCGCAAGATTTAAGTCTGTAATGATATTTTTAACATTAAGACATAGGTCCTTGATATTCAACCCCATAAGTTGAGGATGGTATTATAAAAAAGAAGATGTTTTGAAAGCCAATGTTGAAATCAAACATTGGTATCTCCATATCTTATGGTGTGGATAAGAACATGTTAAGGTTGATCAACACATGTCATGAGGTTAAAGAAGCATGGGAAATTCTCAAAATTGCACATGAAGGCACATTCAGAGTTCGTATATTAAGGATGCAACTCCTTACTACCAAGTTTGAGAATTTGAGGATGAATGAAGATGAGTCTATTAGTGAATTCCACACCATGTTACGTGATATTGCAAACACCTCTTTTGTCTTAGGTGAAAAGATGCCTGAAGAAAAGCTTGCAAGAAAAATTCTCACATCATTGACTAAGAGGTTTGATATGAAATTGACTGCTATCGAGGAAGTTCGGGATTTGAGCATCATTAAGGTTGATGAACTTATTGGTTCCTTACAAACTTTTGAGATATCCATCAATGACAGGGCTGAAAAGAAGAACAAAGGTATAACCTTTGCTTCCAACACTCAGGAGGAAGGAAGTCATGATGATAAATAATAGAGCATTTTCGATGTTATAGCTCTTGGAGAAAATTCAACGATTCCTTGAAGTATATTGATAGAAAATGGAGGACAAATGTCCAAGACAAGATGTCCAACTTCAGTCCCTAGAACAAAGGCAAGAATGAAGAGAAACCAAATGATGGCAAGGGTACTCGGTGCTTTGAATGTGAAGGCTTTGGACACATTAAAGCAAAATGTCCTACCTTTCTAAAGAGATATAAAAAGGATTATCCACGACTTTATCCGATTATAATAATGAAAGTAAAGGAGAAACTACCAACAATGTGATGGCTTATTCTGGTAGATTCGAGTATGAAGACGATTTTAGTTATGAAGACCTGACTTAAAAAGATCTTGATGAATCATTCAAGCTACTGCACACTAAGTGAGAAAAAGGCTTAACTATAGACAACCTGAAGAAAACCATAAGTGTTCTTTAGAAGGAAGCATATGAGTTTGCATCGACCATCACAAATGTAGAAATTAGATTTCTTCAATAAACTCTAAACTAGAAAACATGATACAATTTGAAAGTAATTTGAAAAATAGTTCAAATATACTCAATGGAATGATAGAATTTGGAGAGATATTCAAAGATATGAAGAGAATAAGTGTTGGGACGAGGAAGAAAGAGATGAAGATTCCCTCAGAGAAGGTGGTTCTACATGAAAAGACTGAGGTTCTAAAGTTGAACCACATGTCAGTGCATCGTGTATAACATGTGTTACCTCTTCACATTAGTAATAAGAATCTGCCTCTGAAATGTCACCATTGTGGTAAATATTGCCATATATGACCTTACTGCTACAAACTACATGTATATCCTCAACAAGATAGTCTAATAAATATGAAGATCCAAGGATGCAAGAAAGTCAATGTCAAGAAGAAATGAAAAACAATTCTACTTCAACAAGTTACTTAGCTCATAGCGCAGAGGTTCCTCAAGTGAAGGATGATATTACAATAGTGGAGGTACAAGGAACATGTCTATAAAAAAGACAGTTCATGTCACTCTTGGATATATAGCAAAGGTAAAAATCAATGGCTTAAGGAATTTGACCAATTCTAGTTAAGAGAAGGTGGTACTGATGAAAGACTCTACTACAACTGTGAACAACATAAATCATCTGTGTGATTAAAGAAAGAATATGAACTTCTACAATTCCAAGGGTGGTGTCACCAAAAAGGGTAAAGAAGTTCTCATGAAGTATGTCATATTTGAGGAAGACACCAGGGGTTTACAAGGTCTCAAGATTGATAAAGAGAATACTCAGAAAAAGGATAGACCAACTAAGATGTCAAACAAGATGTCTCAAAATCTTACTCAGGATTTTGAATTATCTCACAAGGATGGTGTAATTAAAGGGAATGTTGATGGTCAGGCGGGAGGTCCTCCCAATTTCGAACAACCTTTAGTGGTCCAGAAGAAGAAGCTAAAGAAGAATAGTGCTTATGGGATAATTCATCCCATTGAAATCTCTCCTCATAAGTCTCGAGGTATGATTAACCAAACACTTGATTGGTTGTCTGGTGAAGCAGAAACTGGGGTATTGAAGTCTAGTTACAAGATGTATGGTGTTAAGTCTGATCTAGCTGCTGGATGAGATATGAGAAATCCTGATGGTCATAAGGATGTGGCAGACATCTTGTACGTCATGTTGAGAGAGTCTCAAGTGCACGAGAAGAATGAATATCATGTTCATGAAGATGTTGAGGGTATTATAGTTGATGATGACATAGTTAATAACCACGATCATGCATTTGAAGATACGGAGACACTGTGTGAAAGTGTGAATGTAAGCACTTACATTACTCATGGCAATGAGTATAAATTGATTTTCAAAGAACACACAATCTACAAATGATATGACTATCCATAATTATGAAAGTGTTGAATCAAGAAACCCTATGATACATGATGGAAGTTTCCATGATCCAATTTCCCATCTTGAAGTCATCAAATGGATTCCAAGACTATCATGGATTCTGAAGTTCATTCCCTATAAGATGGATGTGAAAAGTGTCTCTCTCAATAGGTATTTGAATATGTAAACTAAAGACCTTCTTTGTGTCATGGAGAAATTAAGTCTCATGACAAGAGTACTCATGAAAAGGATCATGTGGAGAAGGTGAATAACAACATTGATAATTGTTGTACCCTAAAATTTTTCCTCCCTATTTTTCATTCAAGATGCTATCCTAGGGTTTCTCAAATACTCAAAATGGCTCAGGGTTTGATCAGAAAGATTCTCTTCCTAGGCATTGAGTCAACAACTAGGGTTTGGTATTTCCCAAGCAAAATTGAGTTTCCAAGGTTTCAAGTGGTCTTCATAGTCCTTCATGTATTCTCAAGAATGCTCACGTCAAGTTTCAAGCCTCGCATCATAAGTTTGCTCAGTCAATGGTTCAGATAACTGAAAATCAACTGCATTGACCTAAAAGTCGACCTTTTCAAGATCAAGTTCAAACGATTGCAATTTCTTCATTATTCAATATTTTGAGTGATTCTTTTTGCGTATGACTCTCCTTGACATCATCTCCAACTTCTCTTTACAAGTCAAGAGCTGATTATGTGCGAAAGATCATTAGAATATTCAAATACTTTAGAGGTCATTTTGCAAATTTGACCTAATCACAAGAAACTCTTGTCCAATTTTCGAGGTTCATAACTTCTTTAATTCTCAACGTCCTGAGGCGATTCTTTTTGCGAAATATCATGAATAGCGTTGTCTATGAGATTACTTCAAAGATCAAGGTCAAATTATGCTTAGTTCAATTTATGTCACAGACGTTTCTCAAAGGACGTTTGATTCTTATGTTGAGATAATTCATGAAACTAGAGTTCTAGTTCAATGATTCATTGATTGATTGTCGCTTATTTCAAGTCATTTGCAAGTGAAAATTAGCGATCATTGGATTAAGGTGGGTTGTTGATTAAATCTCTTAAAGGCGTGATTTGTATTATTGGCTCGTATTGCAAGTTACCGCTAATTGACGATGTGGGTTTTAAAGAAGAAGATTTGAGAAACAATTTGGATAATTCTTTTTGATTTCAAACCAGTTCAAGTGTACGAGGCGCAATTCATTCATATGAATTTGCTTTTGGATTCAAGATATACAAAAGAATTAATTTCTTATGATGTAAATTTGCTCAATTTTAAAGATCAATTCATGAAATTTATTTGGATCTCTAATACAAATGCAAGATTGAAGTCTTAAGGCTTGCATTATTGTTCATTCATCATTCAACAAATACATTCAAGTATCAATCAATTCTTTTCCAAATTCAAGTGGAAATTTCCATTTTTCGATCAAGATTCAAGAATTGTTTGATTTCCATACAACAAATTCATCATTCATAAAATTCATTCAAGTTTTGTGTTCAAGTTACATTTTGGGACAATTTACAAAAGGGATTACAATGCGAAATACGAACTACAATTGTTTTGTTTACAAAAATGAAATGATGTTTCTTCTTCAAGTCTCTTTGCTTCGTCTCCAAGTAATTCGTCCTCCTTTCCCTCTGTGACTTTTCTTCATCTTTCAACCTCGCTTTGGCCGTCCAATCCTTATGTTCATGAAATAGGAAAAAAGGAGAAAAGTTAGCAAATAATCAACATGTGAAAAATTCAAGCAAGAATTAATTGTTAAA